TGGTGCACTATCCCCTTCAGGCTGTGTTCACGCCGCCAACCCCAAACATCTCCCTGGGATCCGACTGAAGCCCACGCCTCAGCTCCCAGCCCCACCCGCCCCGGCGGGTGAGCACACAAGCCTCTTGGGCTGGTGAGTGCTGGTTGGCACCGATCCTCTGTGCGGGAATCTCTCTGCTTTGCCCTCCGCACCCCGGTGGCCGCGCTCTCCTCCACGGCCGCGAAGCTCCCCCACTCCGCCACCCGCAGTCTCCGCCCGCAAAGGGGCTCCTAGTGTGTGGAAACCTTTCCTCCGTCACAGTTCCCTCCCACTGGCGCAGGTCCTGTCCCTATTCTTTTGTCTCTGTTTTTTCATTTTTCTTTTGCCCTACGCAGGTAAGTGGGGAGTGTCTTGCCTTTTGGGAAGTCTGAGGTCTTCTGCCAGCGATCAGTGGGTATTCTATAGGAGCAGTTCCACGTGTAGATGTATTTCTGATGTATGTGTGGGGAGGAAGGTGATCTCCGTGTCTTAATCTTCTGCCCATCTTCTCTTGTCTCCTCAACACTCTTTTATGTTGTTTCTTTTGAGAGTTTTTGGGCAGCTTCTCCATTGCTCCTCTGCTGTCTATGTCATAATAGTTATCTTTTATTCATTTATTCAGGACCCAACCATAAGACAGGGCTGCTGCACTGGCCCAATTTGGGCATATTATGATACTTAAGAAACACAATTCATTGGTCATAAGTAATTAAATAGTAACTTAAATTTCTACTTGAAGTCTCTCAAAGGATGTTAAAGGGAATCCAATTTATAAGCTATAGTGACACTTCCTACCATATCCTCTCCTGTCCTCTTCAGTCTTCTCAAACTATCTCATTCATCTGCTGCCCAGAGATTCTCACTCTTTTGAGCCTTAATACTATAGCACCCCTATTTCCTAAACCAACCTGAGTGGCCCCTGTTTATCTTCTCCTTTCCTCTCTGCCTTTTCAGTCCAAACCAATCTTAAGAAGTAAGCAAAAAAAAAAAAAAAAAAAAA